CATGATACATATAATATTGATTTTAAATATTTTTAATTTAAATTTAAGTTCACATTTAAAAATAAGATTTCATTAATATACTATTTTAGACTTTTAGATATCAAAATATATTAAGGTTTTTGGATACTAACCACCCAAAATATTTAGGAAAATGACTGCAATTTAAAAAAAAAATTTAAATATTATATTTAAAATTATGAGATTAAAATGTTCTGAAATTTATATACCTAACACCCAATTTTTATGTATTTATCTATCTCACACCTAAATTTTTATTTTTTTTACAAAACCAGTACCATATTTATTGATGAAAATGTGAAAACTTTACTGTTGTTGTAAGTGGTGAAAAAGGATAAAGTGGGCGCTTGATTTGTAAAAAAATGGAATTTTGGATGATTGGGTGTGAGTTCTAGGTGAGAGTGGTATGGGGAAGGATATCGGCGGCTCAGACGCAGCCACCTCTTCCGCCGACAAAGCCGCGGAGGCGGCAACAGTCGAGATCCGAAACCTCCGCTTCACATATCCGGGGATTGACGGTCACCCGCCTCCAGGATCAAAGCCTTTAATCGACGGATTCTCTCTCCGGCTCCATGCTGGTGATCGCTGCCTACTCGTCGGATCTAATGGCGCCGGTTAATCTTCAGATTCGACTGATTTGTTTTAGCTCTACATTATTCCGATTTCGATATGCTTCGGCTTCCAATTTGATGATTTTTTTGGGATGTTTGGATCAGGGAAGACGACGATACTGAAGATATTGGGAGGAAAGCACATGGTAGATCCGGATATGGTGCGTATTTTTGGGAGATCGGCGTTTCATGATACTGCGCTTACGTCCTCAGGAGAGCTTTCTTACCTTGGTGGAGAAGTAAGGATTTAGGCGCTTTTATGATCTTCATTAATATTGGGGTTTTTCATTTACCTCAAATTTTGGGGGAATTTGATTTTGGAAATGGTGAATTTAGTTTATGGATCGAATTTTTACTGTTTATGAAGTTGTTTTTTTTTTTCAATGAACAAATCCTTTGGTTATGAGATTGTTGTTAAACTCTTCAAAACTGTGAACTCTGACTCATTCGAAGTTTTTTTACTATAGCAAAATGGACAGGTAAAACAATAGGTGTGGCAAAATGGTGCTCATCCTTAATTCTGATATCTTGACTTGTGATTCAAACTTGGAAAATGTTTGCAATATCTGATTTTTTTGTGTGCAAATTTAGTCTTTTTTTATATTTTCTGGTATCAAACAAGCCTTTATGGTTGGCCTGAGAGCGGTTTGTTTCTTTCCAGTGGAGGAGAGAAGTTGCTTTTGCAGGTTTTGAAGTTACGATACAAATGGACATCTCAGCTGAGAAAATGATATATGGAGTTTCTGGTGTTGATCCTCAAAGGAGGGATGAACTAATCAAGGTTTGCAATTTGCATTGGTTCCAAGCTTTTATTCATAGGAAAAAATTGCTTCGAATATCCCTGACAAATGTTAAGTTAGGATGAGTTCAAAGGCGTTGGATTTGCTTTGAGATGAATGTGATATTAATTTTGGTTGGTTTTTCATGTATTGTACTCATCTCAAGCAAAATCTAACGGCTTTGGAGCTCATTTTGACCATAATTTGATTAGGATGTCCTACCCAAATTGTTTTTCTCTTCAAAATACACGCAGTTCCAAAAGGATGCATTTGTTTCTTGCTGAATGTTCTGTCAGGTTTTAGATATTGATCTTTCTTGGAGAATGCACAAATCATCAGATGGCCAGAGAAGACGCGTGCAAATTTGTATGGGCCTTCTTAAACCATTCAAGGTTTGTTAAATTGAACTTATCTTGTTAAAAAAGGTCGTCGTTCATGAGTAGCTGATGTTAGGCCTGCTAAGAAGCTCGTGATTCGTTTGTTAAGTAAAACAAACTCACATTGGACAATTATTTTGAGCTTGTTTTCACTACGAGTTTAATACAAACAGAGCTTTATTTGATTGTGTTTAGCTTGAATTTTTTAGAGAAGTAAATAATTAAGTAAATATATTTCTAACTTATGAATTTTAATTTTATATTTTTTAGACTTATTAAGTGACTAATAGATAAATAAAATCATTCTATTGTGTTAGGATCATTTTTTATTTATTGGTATTGGTTCAAAATCGGCGCATACTCTGCTCTAATTTGAACTACCCCAACAAAACATGATGTTAATGAATGATTTCACACACAAGCTGATTTAGAAAAAATAAAGATTCAAATGAGTTGAATACGAAAATATGATAACCTTAAGTAAGCTCGATCCCCTATATGCCATATCAAAGCTCCCATATCCTTTTCTCTTTAAATACTCTGCTTTTGTGAGTAGAAACTCATTAATTCTTGTCTACCAATGCATTTGTAGGTCCTCCTCCTTGATGAGATAACAGTGGACCTTGACGTGCTTGTGAGGGCGAACCTTTTGATATATCTGAAGAAGGAATGTGAAATAAGGGGTGCAACAATTATTTATGCAACTCATATTTTTGATGGTCTTGAGAATTGGCCATCACATATTGTAAGCTCATTTGAATTTTTCTTTTATGTATTTATATGGAAACCATAAATTAATTTGTAATTTCCTTGAATGGCAGGTTTATGTTGCTCATGGGAAGTTGCAATTAGCATTGCCTTTAGACAAAGTAAAAGAATTGAGTAACCTTTCCTTAATGGTAAGTATTCTCTTTTTACTGTTGAACAAAATGGAAAATGATACAAGTGCTTCCAAAATTTTATGATTTTTAACCATTTTGAGATAAAATAAACAAGCAAGTTGCTTTAGAATTTGAAGAATAAAACAAATACACATACAAAATAACTATGATATGAGCCATAGTTGTGATCTCAGGAACCAAATCATAGATGCAATTTCGGAAAGAAAACACAGCTACAAATAACGAATAGTTTGTTTGTAATGATTCTTTGAATGCAGAGAACAGTAGAGAAGTGGTTGAGGAAAGAGAGAGATGAGGATAGGAAAAGGAGAAAGGAGAGGAAAGCTAATGGACTTCCAGAGTATGAGAACTCTGTTGATGGCACACGTGTGATAGGAGAAGCTGCTCGAATGCTCAACAATGGCTGGGCTGGAGGGAGGCTGCATTCCACTGTTGCAGGGGAGGAGAACTATTTCAGCATAAATAGGGTCCTCAGGCAGTAAGTAGATCACAAGTAAACATTTGCATTTTACATCTTATAGATAAATGATTTTCTATTTTTATCTATAATTGAATTGTGCTTTGTTACACACACAAAGAAAAAAAAAACATATTTTTTTGGAGGCAGAACATGCTATGTTGAATAATTTACTCCAAATATGTATCAAATTTGTTTGAATATTTAGTTTATGTTCAGTTTCTTATTTACTTGATTTGCTTTCCTTTAAATTTAGTCTTTTTAAGCGAGTGAATAGATCAGATAAAAATTATACATTATATGTGTTATTTTTTCTAAGAATGGCAACGTGCAATGCAAGATGATTAGAGCTACTAAACAAGCAAAATAAACTTGTAACTTTTAAATAAGCAAAGATGATTAGGTTTCCTTATAAGCTTCAAATAGAAAATCAAAATAAACTGAATCAATAGGATTGCACCTTTATTAAAAATAAAATAAAATCTCAAGATGTTGGAAGACACTCATCTTGCCCAAAAAAAAAAAAATCAATTAGATTTCCTTTGAATATTTTCTTTATCAAAATTTTTTTTTTGATCTATTATTTTTATTTGAACCCACTAACCATTTTGTTAAATTGTAATTTCTTTGAAGTAAAATAGAGACAAAGTATGTCTGTCAAAACAGCTCATTATTCACGAACACAGTTTGTTAAGTAGCTCACGTTCAATTCATTCGCTAAGCAAATAAGTCTAACTCAATCATTTTTTTTGCACTCGATATATAAATGAGCCGAACACGAATAAAGATTTATTATTCTTGTTTTGCTTATTTTGGCTTGAAATAATTAAATTATATATATAAACATACATAAATATATATATATATAATTGATGAGTATTATTTTTAAATAATTTAAATGACAACAAAACTAGATTTATGATTAATTAAAATTATTAATTTTAAAAAATAAGATAATAATATATTAAATTTATCTAAATAAATATTTTAATGCAAATAACAAGATTTAAATCTCGACTCTATTTTTAAAATCCTTCAATTCTGTGATTAGGGATATCAAAATAATTTACCATTCGCGAACAACTTGTGTAGACTCAACATGAACAAATTTTGAGCTTGATACATCAACGAGCCGAACACGAGCAACACTATTTTTCAATAGGCCAAGCCTAATCTCACTCAAACTTGGCTCCTTTACAGAAATCAATAGGCCAAGCCATATCCCTTGTGATGATCAGTTATAATGAAATTATACTTGCAGAAATCATCATGATTGCTACTAGCCTCTTGAAAGTCAATTGTGACTAGAAAATACCATGAAAATAAATAGATAAATACAGTCAATAAAAGCAGGTCGTCATTTTTTTCTTATTTTTTGACTTGGCTTGATCCAGTTGAATAGACAAATAAAAACTATAATACTCATAAGGATCAAGACAGCCATATCTCCCAAAATATCATTGAGGCCTTTGTAGTACTGCCATAGAATAGAAACAATATCAAAATCAGCAGCTTTCTAAATAATCCAGCCAAATCATTGTATTAAATAGACAACACAACAATGCTATCAAACACCAAATTCCGCAATATTACCAACAAAAATACACAGGTCTGGTTAGCATAACAATCACAATATCATAGTCTTAAGCCACAATGTCTTATAATATCCAACACAATAATCGTCAGAACAAACTTCTTCCTATTTCTCAGCAGCAGCAGCAGCAGCAGCATATTGTTTTTAAGACTGAAATAAAACAAGAAACAGGAGAGATCAGCAATAGTTATTGGTGATTCGGAAATTTACATATATACCACACAATTCTTATGCATTAACATATAAAACACCCAAAATTTAATATTTACACTTGTAACACCTTGGATTTATAAACCTATGAATAAGGTGTGCTTCATTTTAAGAAAATAGTGATGGTGGTATTTTTGATGTAATGCTAAAGATTTGAGTGCTATGTATATAAAATATAAATGTTCAGATGTTAGGTAAATACATAAGAATTTTGTGGAATGTGCAAATGCCAATTAGAGAGTTTGCAAGTAGCAATTGCAGGCATACCTTATTAGCTATGTTGTTAGAGAGCCAGTCAAGTCCTTCATACAGCCCTTCTCCAGAAGTGGCACATGTGCTCTGGATATACCTGCAGACAATGAGCAGAGGGAAGACATTGTAATGGCCATATGGAACAAAGACGGAAGATTTACATACATGCCACTCAATTCCTATGTACTAATACCGAACACCTAAACTTTAACTTTTACATATATGACACCTGACCTATGCATGAAAAAATGTATTTCACTTTTTAAAAGTTAAAATGATAATATTTTTTATGTGACATGAACGATTTTGGCGGTAACAATGTAAAAGCCAAAGTTTACGTGTTACATATACAAATACAAAAGAATTGGGTGGTGGCATGTATGTAAATGCTCGAATAAAAAAAAAATCCTTTGAGAATGAAGAAGCATGGTGAAAAGTTATATGTACCAATGTCGCTGACGAAGAGAGTGGAGGCCAAGTTTGTCGCATGAATGATTTTGGCGGTATCAATGTAACAGCCAAAGTTTACGTCTTACATATACAAATACAAAAGAATTGGGTGGGTGGCATGTATGTAAATGCTCGAATAAAAAAAAATCCTTTGAGAATGAAGAATCATGGTGAAAAGTTATATGTACCAGTGTCGCTGACGAAGAGAGTGGAGGCCAAGTTTGTCGGTAATTTCAGCCGCATTCATGGCGTTGGGGAGGGCTTGTTTGGTATAATTTGAAAATTAGGAAACAAAAGCATTCCGCTTGATATAGCAAAGAAGAAGATGGTGCCAAAGAACAAAGAGGGCTCTGCTACAGGGAGAATAGAATAAAGTGGTAGAGACGTCAAATCGATTCCTACCTCATTCAACATTCTGTGGAGCTCGTCTCTGGCTTCAACAACACGGTCACGATCGTTGCTGTCCACCACAAAAATGAGCCCCTGTGTGTTCTGGAAGTAATGCCTCCATAGCGGGCGGATCTGGAAGGAAAGTATAAGCATAAAAATAATATAATTAGTTTTAAATATGTATAAAACTATGTATAAATATGGCCAAATAGATGAAAATCTGTTCAATCAGTTTGGGTATAAAAAAATAATCAAGGATAAAGCAAGGCCATTGGTACAATATTTTTGGTAAAAATGACAATCAGAGCCAGCCATGCAAACTATCAGGCATTGGTAAGAAATCTCTGCTGTTTTATAAATCAGCCTTCACTCCCCCAGAAATCGTACTAGTGTATTTCTGTAATACATTGGGTATTATTGTAAAGTACTATGGTGGAATTTTTCAGCACTAATATGAGGAATGGGCAGGGCAGAAGAAGCATATGGTGAAAAAGGCAGGACATGATGGTCATTTCACTAGAGGTGGGGCGGGTTAGGGGATTCTTCTGCAGCAAATCCAAATAATAGAATGCTGGCCTATCAAACCATAACCAGGGCTACCTTATGATAATGTTCAAACATAACCCAATTATTGAAATTTTAATTTGCATTAAGGATGAATTTACCTTGTCTTGACCGCCAACATCCCAAACAGTAAAGCTTATGTTCTTGTACTCCACTGTCTCCACATTGAATCCTGGTAAAGGAAACATTAAAAAAACATATATCATAATGAACGTTGGATCAAATATAATTCATCACAAATTAAATTGCTGAGATTCTAAATAAATAAATAAATAAATAAATGTACATGCTAAAAAAATATATGGAGTTGGAATCTGACTTAATAGCAAGCGCACTTTGCAAGGTAAATTTGCTATAATATAGAAGATGATGACAATCAACTACTCTTTCAAAAACTAAACCTACTATATTATACATTTGACTCTCATATTTTATCATAAACACCCATCAAATTAATTCTCATGGTTCAAACATGTACTTGATTATGATCAACATAGACAAACTTTGAATGATTCTTCATAAACACATTTAATTTTTATTTAACAGACAAGGCAAAAAATGTGCTCGAATTATTAAATTTTTGAAAAATTTACATACCTCCAATTCTTAGGTACTCACATATCCAACACCTGAAGTTTGATATTGACATTTATATTACTTTGGTGCCATAAAACTAGGTGTATTTCACTTTAAGCTGTTAGTAATAGTGGTAATTTCAATGTGATGTTAAAGATTCGAGTATTTTAGATGTAAATATGAAATTTTAGATGTTAGATATATAAAAATATAAGAATAATGTGGTATGTATGTAAATGCCCCTAAATTTTTTGGCAAAAAAGTAGATATTTTCTCTAACATAAATTCAATTCTTCTTAGCTGCACTACAACACTCCTTGGCTCCATTATGTGTAACATAAGCCTGATTCCAATTAAGCAGCAAAAAAAATATCCCTATCTACTTAAATATCTTAACAAAATGCTTATTATCGTTCATTTAGCATCATCTAAGTTTTTTAGAATTCTATTTAAAAACATCTCTTAACCATACTATACAATACTCATAAAACTCACCAAATGTCAATAGCATGCCTAGTCTTACAAAGGTCAAATGCATTTTTTTAAATCTAACCTTCCCAATTTATAATAAACCATATTACAATAAGAAACTCCCTTCCTTTTGCTCTTCTATGATAAAATTACTGCTAAAAGGTCTTCTTTTCTCAAAATATATTACACTTTCGTGGGAAACATTTATTTCTTTCATTTTTTGTGAACCATCTCTTAAATAAAACCATTTTAATTTTATTCCTAACAAACTTAACGTGAGAATAACATCAATATTAAAACCTTCTATAAATATCAAAACATTAGCTCTGAATACAACTGTGTTTACAAGGAGATTACAGAACAATGAACAAGTTTTTGGAGGAAAAAAATATTATTTACATAAAATTCAAATATGTTATATGAAGACTGACAACATAGGATGAGCACAAAAACTTAGAAAAGTTTGGTCTTAAAAGAAGTAAAATGTAACAAAAAGATAAACAAGAATTCATATGATATGCAAAGATAAAAGGGAAACATCCATGTCAGTGTAATTTTTACATGCATACTGATCCAAGTTAAATGGAACAAGAGATTCAAAAGAGCACATTTTAGCACATTTAAATTAAAAGAAGATTTACATACATACCACTCAATTCTTATGTTACATATATACCTTCCTTATGCATGAAAAGGTCTATTTCATTTTTTAAAAGTTAAAATGGTGGTATTTTTGATGTGATGTGAAAATTTTGAGCGGTCTAAATGTAGAAATTAAAGTTTGGTTAGATATGTAAATACATAAAACTTTGGTGGTATCTATGTAAATGCCCCTAAATTAAAATCCACTCTCAGAGAAAACTTCAAAGCTGTCACAGCATTGTTAGCACTGAATGTTGGCAAAAAATACATCATTTTGTTCTAAAACACAAAATTTACGTTAAAAATAACCTTTAATATTGCCCCCAACATAGTTAAATAATTGTCAATAAATGCTTATCCGCTACTTGGAAAAGCCGAGTCATACACGTTTCCAAAACTCGCACCAAAAGAATAAAACCAGTTCAGGGAAGAAACTATCATTCCAAACACACATAATAACAAGGCTGTATCTCTTATGTTACCTTTGCATTTAAAATGTAATAGACAACTTAAAACAATTTCTAGACAAAATCAGTAGACAAAAATATTAACAGGGAAACCAGGGCATACAGATACAATATAAGAAAATTTGCAAGTTAACAGGATCACAGAACTTCCAATCAAGTCAAACACAATAGACCTAATAGAACTGACATGAATAAGAAAATCCAAGAGGACTCATAAAATCATCACTGCAAATTGATCCAACCGCATGAAACAATTCAATAAATGATCAGAGCAATTAACTCAAGAATGCGAATAAGAATGCATAAATGAATCAACTAAAAAAACAGTTAAGATCAAGCAGTTTTTTTCTGGCGAAAAGGATCACCATAAGCTTTTTGTTTGCATTTACTCACGTACCAATGGTGGGGATGGTCGTAACTATCTCTCCCAGCTTCAGCTTATACAGGATGGTAGTCTTACCAGCCGCATCAAGACCCACCATAAGAATACGCATTTCTTTCTTGGCAAAAAGCCGACTGAACAGTTTTGTGAATGACAGCCCCATCTTCACACCTAATAAATTGATCAAAGATGACTGATTATTATTCAAAAGCATGACAAAAGCAAGCACTAGCTCAAAGTAGAAGCTATATGACTTCCTTACATCAGAAAATGCTAATTATAACTAGTTTATTGCATTTTTTAAAGCTTTTGATGAATAGGTGGATATGAAATTATAAATAATAAGCACAGCAAACACACTGCGATGACCTAAAAGACTACAAACTGCATTTATTCTTTATTAATGAAAATAGGCAACAAGAAAATCACTCTAAGGGAATCATTAACATCCCTTCAAAGAGAGCACAAACTGAGACAACATATGCCATTCCTATCACTCCCAGTTGTGGTTCCTAAGCTCCAACAGGCACATGGTAATGTGCATTCGTTATCATACAATTCTTTCCAGAAGGTTCAAACTTCTCCAAACCATTGCACCTAATCTATTACACCATTTTGTGAATTGTTCATGCTTAACTGTATCTCTTAAGAAGAGTGATTGATCCATACAGAAATGATAAGACATTGTCACATGTTTCTGCTTTCTCTGGTAAAACTTCACAAAAATCTTCTCGGCATCAAGTACAACTTATAACCCACCCCATTACCTTCCAGTTATAATGTCACTTCCTACAACGTAAGCATAATCTAACATGTGATTTAACATATCACCGGAAATAGGTACACCATCAAACCACTGCCATCCACCCAAGTTACATGGAAATCAAGTGAGTCAGAAGGCTCGACTCATGAGCAACCATCATCCAATCAAACATTGGATGATTCACAAAATATTATTTGTTATGGACAAACATAATATTTTAAAAAATGACAAAATATCCCTCAAAAACTAAAAAAAAAATTGGCTTTGTGATTGCATTTGTCATTCTCAACATCAAGATCATCTAAATCGCTACAACTACAATGTCAGACAAGACACATGATAGTTAGCCGACAGACACTGTGCTAGACATTGTTCTCAATGTTAATGGTTGTTCTGCCTGCACCATAAAACATGATGCTGCAATCACCTGTTATCGACCACACCATCTATAGCACTAGCTAATGAGTTATAGATTTGTTGTAGACAGATATGCTTATCACCATAGCTGGTGTTGATGGAGCTTTGAAGGTCTACACTCGTCGAAGGCATAAAATGTGGTTGCTATGATAAGCAAATTAGTCACAAATTATATATCTATTTTAAAATTTTATATTTCATAGATTTTATGTTTTTTTAGATTATTTGTATAAACAAGCTTATGATGGCAATGTGTTCTAAAAAAATGAGATGTGTTCTGTACTTTATTATTTCGTGGGTTAGTTCAATTTATTTTGTGTGGTTTGTTATTACTTGGTTCACTGCTTGTTGGGTTTCCTCTATGTGCATGAATTCAACTCATGTAATGGGGGACCTATAGCAGGCATTCAATCTCTGTGGATTGCATGATTATCCTACACATCACCTATAAATTTTCTCTAATGCCGTTATTCTTATAAGATTTTAGCGCCTTAGGGGTGTTTGGGATCACCATTTTTTTTCATTTATTTTTTTATTTTTATTTTGCTTATGTTTTGATTTGAATTAAACATATTTGATGGTGGTAGTTGTTTTTAAAAATATTTTAAATATTTTTATAAACAAGGTAATTTGTTTTTAAGTACATGTAAAATTATACAAACAAAACATGTTGCATAAACAATAGCAAAAACCAGAAAAATAGAAGAAAATAAAAATAAAGCAAAACAGGCTATTTAAGGTTCCACTTAACATGTCAAAATTTCTACAATTTTGAAGATTTAGAATTGTCAACCTTAGAAAAGCTTGAGAACTACAAATTTGAAAACTTTGAGGCACGGAGACTCTTGATTAACAAAATCTCATCTTTTGTTCAATCTCATTTGCTTGGTCGAGCATGGATTTCTTGATAAGCGGCTGAAGAGTGAACCATTCCCAAAATAATTCATCATCCTAAATTGAGAGGCTTTTCTAAGTTAGATTTGATAATGATATTGTGAAAGCGATTGATTTTAGTTAATTTGGCTGTAATAGATTCTTTGAGCTGTGAATATCAATCAAAATATGGGTTTTGGATATTTTAAATTTCTTGTTGAATTTCATTGATTTAGATCATTAAATTATCATTTGGCATAAATTTCTCAAGGCATAAATTTCTCAAGTTTTTATTTTTGTTTTACATCAACAGAAAAAAGGTTTTTTTTTTCTTTCATCAATAGAACATAGTTCTTATTTTAATTATTGGTGTTTGGAACTTTAAATTCCAACTCCAAATACGCTAGCAAGTGGAGCCCTTAATCCTAAAGCGTACTACACAGATGTCAAACGTGGTGTTCGCTACAAAAAATTGAAGATAAGAAGCTCAAAAGCATGAGTAATGCAGTATAGCTTGTTCCAAACACGAAGAGACATCACCAAAATTGTGACCCAAGGAAATTGTTAACCCTATCTTCACTGGCACTGCATTTGCAATTGATATGTAGTGACCAACATAGGTACCCTGTGTGTCACCATGCCTCTCAATCTAAATGACAACTTGTAATTCAAAATATTTTTTTGGGGTGGGCCATCTTTATAAATATTTCCGCTAATAAAATATTAGCAATTGAGCTAAGCATAGTGATTATATTTCTCTCGAGCCTTACCAGATAAAAACCTTGCTATCTTTATTGTATCTATATTTAAATTTCCTAAGCTAAAATAAAATGAAAGGCTAGCACTAATACGGTTTGTAGAAATCTCTATTGAAACTCAACGGTATATAAACTAAAACTTCATTTAAAAACGCTCTTTTGTAGGTGGATTCACTTGAAGGTTAAATGAAGTCCTAAATTCATCATTAAAATATTCAATAAACTTATTTGAAAATAAGAGGATATACATCTTGATTTAAAAAAAGGAAAAAACTCAAGTCTATTTAAACAACCTTTTAGGTTCGAAATATCAATAAGGCTTCAATGTCAACTAACCAAGTCAAAACTCAAGCCCAAATCAAAGTCCTAAACTGATGCTAAATATCAAAATCAAAACTTTAAAGTCCAAATAAACACATAAAACTACATGGAGGCATATGAAGGACTATAACAACCAGATTCAAGAGGGATTCAAGAATTCTTGAATTTGAAACCCAAAAACTCCTGACAAATTGTAAGTGTAAGCCAACAAAGATATGACAAGAGAGAATGCTATTTTAAATTAGGATTTATTCAAAAAGCATGGGTGATTATTATGACAAGGAAAATCAGTCATTTGATAACTTATTTCATGCTTAAGATAAAGGGCTAATCCCTTGTAAGTACATCATTATTTAGATTTAACACTTATCTAGGACATTAGAAGTCTACAGATAACAAGTTTATAAAAAGGTTTTTTAATTCAATTATTCAACTAAATACGAGTAGATTGAATACAAGAAGTCTCCCTATTAATTGAATCAAAACTATTTAAACAACCTTTTAGGTTCGAAATATCCATAAGGCTTCAATGTCAACTAACCAAGTCAAAACTCAAGCCCAAATCAAAGTCCTAAACTAATGCTAAATATCAAAATCAAAAGTTAACTTTAAAGTCCAAATAAACACATAAAACTACATGGAGGCATATGAAGGACTATAACAACCAGATTCAAGAGGGATTCAAGAATTCTTGAATTTGACGCACAAAAACTCCTGACAAATTGTAAGTGTAAGCCAACAAAGATGTGACAAGAGAGAATGCTATTTTAAATTAGGATTTATTCAAAAAGCATGGGTGATTATTATGACAAGGAAAATCAGTCATTTGATAACTTATTTCATGCTTAAGATAAAGGGCTAATCCCTTGTAAGTACATCATTATTTAGATTTAACACTTATCTAGGACATTAGAAGTCTACAGATAACAAGTTTATAAAAAGGTTTTTTAATTCAATTATTCAACTAAATACGAGTAGATTGAATACAAGAAGTCTCCCTATTAATTGAATCAAAACTATTTAAACAACCTTTTACAAAGCCTACTACCTCTCTCAATACACACATTCTCTCTACTCTCTCTAATCAAGAATAAGAGAAAGGAGAAAAGGAGCTCAGAAGCTTTTGAGGAACAAGGCAACATCAAAAGCATGGAGAAGATGAAGATGAAACTAATGTCAGTGAAGAAGGAAGATCAAAACAAAAGAGATCAAGCTACTGCAAGACAAAAGTGGTATACAAAAAGGTTTAGTAAAGCTAATCTCACATCTAGTTTTCCATCTAATACTTTAACTCCCTAATGCATTACTCTCCTCTTTGTTTCCTTTGCACCATATCCCATAGCTTGATCACATTTTGTCAATCATCAAACAGTAAGTATAACTTAAATCTAAGATTTCTATTGTAAAGGTCGTCATAAACTCTATCGTTAAAGGATCTCATTTCTTATTCTACAATTAAAAGATCCATCAAGACTAACTAATAATATTGATTCTTGAAACATGAACCCTCTTTGCATCTAGAGTAAAAAGGAAGGATTGCCATATTAATCCTCCTCAGTTTTGGATAAAAGAACCAGGCCTGACATCTAATCATACTATTATCATATTCTGGATCAAGTAGTATTAGAGCCTGGAATCTTGATTTATAGGTATACTTGTAAATAATAAAAACAATAAAAGCAGCCCACTTGTCAAACTATTGCAGCCAATGAATCTAATTTACAAGAAGAGACCCCATATTTAACCAACGAGGTTTAGAAATAAATTTCTACACAAAAGAGTGCCTTATGATCAACCTTATGAATGATTCTTACAAAAAGACTAATACTTTCAAAAATAAAAAAATGTTGCTAATACTAGCCATGATCCTTGTGAAAGGAAAATCATATTACCAAATAAGAAAGAAGATGGTGCTCTTGAAATGTCAGCTAGTGATGAGGAAGGAGAAGTACAAAACCACACCACCTTGACACCAACTTCCATTCAAAGTAGATATAAATTTAGAAATTGCAATATACAAAAATGCAATCAATGCTAAAAAGTTGGATAATTAGGTTGATCATTCTGAAAGAAACTTTTATTTAGTTTGGAATACATTGCACAGAAGATTTCTTCTGTTCAAATTAAGATGTCCTCATATGTGATCATATGGTAGAATGTTGAATCAAAACACCATGACCTATTAAAATTGATATGGTCAAATTTTAAATCTTTATTTTCATCTCAATTTATCTCAGTATTCATGAGAAGCGAATACAATGCTCAAAAGTAACAAAATGAGAATTTTTTTTTGCATAAGTATATTGCGAAATTTCATATATAGGTCATTGGTTCAAGAATACCCTTGAAAGGAAAAATACTTTTTTATGAAGTATAAAGCAGTATTGAACGAGCTCAACACAGAGTATAAATCATTTTCAATTGAAAAGATTTCAAAAGCTAGTTAAAAGGTCAATTGCCATTAAGGAGAAAAATCAGATCAGCCGCAACAACCAAAAACTAAGAACAACAGAAAAATTGCAAGTTTAAAGAAAAGAAGCCTAAGGAAAAGAAGCATAAGCAAAGATCTCATTACCTCAATCCCATGTCAAGTTGATCCAGGAAGACCTTAGTGAAACAATTTTTCAAATCATTCCATTGAATAGGAACATCAAGTATTCAGGAGTCCCAGCCCCAGGATAAAAAACGAGAATCAATTGGATGTCTAATAATCAAGATCAAGAAGGAAGATATTTTAGACCATTAGCTCATGATAGAGATAGCTAGATAAACAATTTTAAACTTTAAACTTGTTTTGGATAAGTTCTTTTGAATTTAAATTTAAATTTTCTTCTTTTGTAGAGTCAGTTTAGAAAAAATGTAACTGTTCTTAAACTGTGCGGTCGTTAATACGATTATTCCTTATTTGATATAGATTTTGGGATTATGAGATCAAATTCAAAGTTTTCATTGCTTTTTTCCTATAAATAGGCTATTTCTTGTAATAGAAAGTATTCGACTCTCACAAAAGATTAACAATCTTCCTCTCCATTTGAATACTATAGCAATAACGTGAGAGCTAAATCAACCACAAAAACTACAGGTAATGTAGCCATTATGGACATTTAGCAAATGGTAACATAGCAACCACCTCGCAAAAGATAAAAATAAGTTAAAATTAATATAGCAAGAAATCAATAGCTCATCTTATAATAGACTCTCATCATAATGTTTAAAAGTATCACACTATATCACATTTGTACTAAAAATTATTATCGATTTCAAAAGTCTTTCAATCATCCAATTCTGAATCATAATTTGATCCTATAGCACTAAGACTTCATAAGAGAAAAAAAAAAACCTAGGGACTATAATTATAAGAAGAAATTAAAAATAATAATTGAAGGGCTTCATGTATGAATAAAACCAAACAGACGGCTCTGGTGAAGGAACAAATGGCCAAACTATCGTAGCCTTTGAAGGTCTCACTACTAAGATAACAACACCATCATCTGCTCCACCACAAAATATCTTAAAAAATGACAGTAATCAAGTAGTAGACAATTTATTAAGAAGATAAAGTAAGTTGAGAAGAACACACAAAAAGAAGAAAAGAATATCTTCCCTTCAAGGTAAAAGAAAGGTTGGAGATATCTTGCTATGATAGAACAAATAAACTTGAAGTAATAGATAAATAGTTTGTGCTTCTTGACATACATTTCCTAGTTTACAAAAAATAAGAAATTGCATCAGCTCATTTGAAGCTACACTCAGAATTCACAATAAAAAAACTATAATTATTAGGGAAGGATTGATCCACCTTAAGCTTAAACTAAAATTTTATTAACACTAATTTAAGTTTAACTAATGAAAATAACCTTATCTTTGCAACTTTGGTTGAAAGAGTTGGTTAATAACTACTCAACATTAGAATGGTATAATCTAAAATAGTTCCAAAAGATTAATGCTCCCTATATCACTTGGAAAGGAAATCTTAGGTTTGTCTTCTTTGTTGTTTCACCTACGAGGTAACCTGTGAAGTTGTATCATTAGATGTAAGTATGTAATTCCAAATAGTCCATAATTTTTGTTATGAATGTAATCTTTTTTAGAATACAACAAAACTTTGAGTTTGTAAAACTAGGGGAAAAAAATATCTAATCAATAAATCGATTGTTCTGCCATTGGAAGGGGGTCAAGAACACATGAAATCAAAGAATTCCAACAAGGAGTCCGAAAAGTAGAAGTATCATCCCTATTGATTCATAGTTTTGTCAGATGGGTCATCACAACACAATTAAAATCAAAGGACTAAAAGGAAGAAAATAAAAATTAAACATGACTAGGAGGCTAAAATTCAATAAGAGTTCTCATTTATAGGAGCAAATGAGTTAAAATTAGTGAGTGGTGATCTGGAGGATCTCATTGGAAAAATGACAGCACAAAACGTTAGAGAGTAAGACCTAGTAAATAGGTGTATAGGAACACAGCAATATTCAATTAGAAATTTGATGATTAAATTTGGGAGACAAAAAATTTCAGTTGTTTGATGGAGATAAGAATAGCAAGATATAGATGACTTTTGAATTTTGAGCATTTTTTTGGATAATTTAATATTTTTAATATAAACTTGAATTTTCTTTGTTTGCAGAATTAGTTTAGGAAGGATAAGGTTGCTCCTAAACAATGGAGTTAGGCACAAGGTTATTCCTTATTTGTTGGAATTAGTTTAGGAAAAGATAAGAACACATTTAATTTAATGGAAAACACCAGTTTTATGGAAAATGAGATATACAGCAGTCCTTTCCTAATGCATACAACCATCCAAAAAATAAAAGAATTAAGATCACACATTTAAAACTATAGCATAACTAGGAAGCAAATGAAATTAAAAACACGACCTCCCCGGAATCCATTCCTGGAGGAAACTAACCTGCAAGAGATTCGTACCCAATCCATCCTATACGAAATGAAAACCTCTTCACGATCAAAAATCTATGTTTATATTTTACCGATCTAGCCAAAAGCCGCCAATAACCTTATTCGATTGCATCTATAAACCTACATCTAGGTTTGAAATAATAAAACAGAAACACTGTAGGGAGGGACAGGGAGAGATTTACAGGAGGGATACGAAAGAAGAACGAAACTGCGGAAGATGATGCGGCACCAGAAGACCGAGGAGCTACCGTCGACCACCAAATTCTTCTGGAATGAAGGCCGGCATCTTATCCTTCAGAAGAAATGACGAGAGGGAGCATTCGTGCCACCTAACGGACGTCCAATCGCCGTCACAACGGAGGATTGCATTGCCGTTACAATTATTAATAGTATTTATTTAAATATGTAAAATTATATAATTTAAAAGTATTTATAAATTTTAAAAAACCTGCAATAATTTTTATGAAATATTTATTAAAATAACATTTTTATATAATATGAACGCAATATTATTTAATACTGTTTTTTAAATTATTATGTAACATCTAATATTTAAGCTCATGAACATCTAATTTCATTAAATTAAATTACATTTAAAAGAGAAATATTAACATTAAATTAAAAATAATATTAATATTAAATTACATCAAATTAAATGATATTTAAGCTTATGAACATTTAATTGTTATTACCATGTAACATGAACGAGCTCAAATTGAAATTTTATTAAATATTTTTCAAAATATGGTAAATCTTAAATAATTAAATTTTTTATTTTAAAATATGTCCCAAAAATACGGGAAATTAAATAATTTCTCCGCTTTTTTCTTTCATTTTTATATTTAAATAGGATTTTTAATTGAAATTTCTTCCAATACAGGCGACATGGGACTACGTCTAAAAGAGAATTAGGCGGGATCCTGGGCAACTGAAGAATTGAGCAACTGGTATTGTGGGGCCACTTACACATATACCACCCATTTTTTAAGTATTTACATAAGCAGCGACCCCACTAAATAGAAAAATTATTCTATACGGACAACAACGCATGAAAAGATGCATGTGGTATCCAATCACCACCGTTGATCACCGCAAAAATGTATTTCGATGGGCCCCACTTAAATTTTTTTTTAAAAAAAAATATATATTTGATCGCGGTGATCGACGGTGGAGACCACCGTTGATCACCGCAAAAATGTAATTTCGATGGGCCCCACTTAAAATTTTTTTTTTTAAAATATATATTTGATCGCGGTGATCGACGGTGGAGATCGGACACCGCATGCAGAGATCAGACAATGTTCGTATGGAATAATTTCTCCAATAAATAAGAAATTACGAGATCAGACAATGTCCGTATGGAATAATTTCTCCAATAAATAAGAAATTACTAATTTTTTTTCGGAGAAACCTCAGAGTAGTATTTGCATATATAATTCCTAAATCAAAGAAAGGGACTCCGTGCTCTAAACTTAAATCTTTTATAATCATAAAACTAAAATATTATTAAAACAAATAATAATTTTTAGCATTATTAATACATATAAAATTAATATAAAAATAATATAAATAAATATTATTATTTAATTATTTATTAATTTCAAGTTAAAACAAACTGAACACGACCTGTTCTTAGATGAAGAACTTTTTTTTGACAATATGTCATATAGTTAATAATAAATATATTCTATAGTTGTGTATTATTAAAATCATCAAATTTATTTTATTTGAACTTGAATCAACTTGTACATATTATTAAACTAACTCTACGGTGACAATGTTTTGCTATAATATTATGAAGTATAGGTGTACTCTCCTTAATTTAGACAAACTTTGGACTCTTTTTATCCCTTGTTTCAATGAGATTCAATTTTGTTTTAAATTCAAATATGATTTGGATGTTGATAAAAAAATCATGGTGTTTTCTACTAGATTTTGTTGTAATGCATTACTATATTATGCTTGCGATTGTGATTCCACCTTACCATGTTAAAACTTTATACAATTAATGTGATTGCTCCTTTACTTTGATCGTATTCTACAAAGAATAGTTTTAAAAAGGTTAAAAATATGGATTATATATATATAGTCTTGATTTATACGAAAGTATGACGGCGTCTAGGGTTCGTTTCGGCTCTGGAATTTTGGGCGATTTCGAGTTCCCTCTTCTCTTTAATAGTTGGTGAGATCTCTCCTTTTCAGATTTACTTTCACGAACTTTTGTTTTTCGTTATGTCGTCTGCTTGTCGTTCCTTTTTTGAGGTGGTTTTAGAGGGAGGCGGGGTGACATCTTGCTCTCTTGTTTCTTTTATGTTTTTGCAAGGCTTTCATGACACTCTGAATGTTGGTGGAAAGTATTCGTTTGTTAAGAAAGTTGGAAAAAAATGGCAAATTGACAATGTTTATCTCTGAAGTAGAATAAAATATTTTGGCTTCCTCTTGCCGTTTGGCTTTCGTAGGAAAATTTTCTCATGGGATTCCAAAATTAGAGCTTATCAGGAAAGAGTTTGAATTACTTAAGTTAAGGGGCTGGTGGAAGGTTGGGTGTTAGATGGTAGAGATATTCTGATTCAGTTAGCTAACAATGAGGACTATACGATGTTGTTTGCAAAAAGGACTTTGAAAATTGAAAGCCGTGTTATGAAATTCCTTAAATGGTCCATTAACTTTGATCCTAAAGCAGAATTGTCTATTTTACCTGTTTGGATTTGTTTTCCTGGGCTCACATTACACTTATTTAACCACGAAGTCTTGTTTTCTCTTGCTGCTGCATATGATAAACCATTAAAAATGGATAGTGCTACTTTCATTATTACTAGACCCTCCGAGGCTCGTGTTTTAGTGAAAAAAGGATATCACTCAGCCCTTTTATGATGAGATTTGGATTGGATCTAAGCATTAGGGATATTAGCAACCGGTTGAAATAGAGAGGCATTCCTCATATTGCACCCATTGTTCAATGTTTGGCCATCACACCTCCAATTGTTATCGTCTAAACATTCAACTTAAAGAATCCTTTAGCACTAAACCACCTTCTCTTAGCAATAATATCGAACCACATAATCCCCCAGTTAGAAGTGAGCAAGAAAAGGAAGATGATAGGCCTTTGCAAAATTTTGAACCAAATATGAAAGCTCTGTTAACTAATAATGTTATATAAGTGCAAGCTCAACATAATGAGAGAGAGGGCAATGCTGATACTTCTGAATCTGTTCCACCAGATTTAACCGTTAATAGTAACGTTCCTATTACTTATACTACTACTAATCTTCCAGGGATAACATGGTTGAAAATCAGGAGCAACACAATGAACAAGTTTTGTTTCCACCCACATTCATGGAAATATCACATGACCCTCTTCAACTTGCCCAAAACACTTTGGAGAGTGAGTGGCAGATACAAAAGCATGCTAAAAAGAAAGCAAAAAGGAATAATGAACTCTCAAGCTTAAATGCTGGCAACATATTCAAGAATGTATCTATTATTTAGATGGAGAACAATTAGCCAACCCTTCTAGGTCTTCTAGAAGGGCTGACATAAGACATAATGTTTAATATTATGGTCTAGAATATTCGGGGAGTCGTGGACCCTTCCTCCCTTAATAGGCTTAAATATATTTGTAGGGTTCATAAAATTTTTATTTTTGCCATTCTGGAGCCTCTTGTCAATGTCAATAGAAACATGATTTTGAATAAATTTAAAGGCTATCAGTCTCACTGCAACATAAATAACAAAATTTGGGTCTTTTGGAAGCACATAATTACTTTATCGATTATTGAAGATAAGGAGCAATTTGTTTTAACTCATTTCCATATGGTGCAATTTATTTGGGGGGGGGGGGGGGGGCTCCTTTTCTTTTTGACCGCTCTATGCCAGCTCTCTTTTGCCTGAAAAATTCTTATTTTGGCAGAAGCTAGAAATTTCGGGTGGTTCCATCTTTGAAAACTTGTTTGTTGGAGGGGATTTTAACATGATTATGAAACCGTCTGAGAAAAAAAGTGGTGGCAGATTTGACATTTCTCTTCTTAATCTCTTTTGTAATTCTATTGCAGGAGCTGGTCTTTTCGATCTATGCTACTCTGGATCTCCTTTAACTTGGAGGAGAGGTTTTCTTCAACAAAGGCTTGATCGTTTCTTGGCTAACTCCGCTTTTCTTTATACTTTTCTATTTCCAAAGTTCAACATTTAAGCTATGCTTCCTCTATTCACAATCATATTCTTCTCACTCCTGCTTTTATTGATAAGCCTGTTATATCTAGATTTAAATTTCTTAAGATTTAGACTTCTCATGATACTTTCCTAAGTACTGTGCAATAGGTTTGGACGTATGACAGTGTTGGAACTCCTTGGTTTATTCTTTGACAATTGCATAAAAAATTGGCTGCTAAGCTCCGTAAGTGGAACCACTAGGTTTTTGGTAATTTCCATAATAAAGTTTTGGAGGCTCAATATGTGGTTGATCAATTGAAGACTAAAGATATTTGTACTCTTGATATGGTGAATCCTACTACTCATGCTTATTTAACTTTATTAGAAGCTATTAATATGGAGGAAGCTTTACCTCAATAGAAAGCTAATGATATTTATTTTACTGTTGGGGATAGAAATACTAACTATTTTCATGCCACTTTAAAGCATAAAAGGAACATGAATTGCATCTTGAAGATTAAGAATGCTGAGGGTCAAACCTTAATTGATTTGGATGATATTGGGGATAGTGCGGTGCGTTATTTCATTGAGCTTTATCAACACAACCCTATAATCAACCCTGTTGACTCTAATGTTTTTGTTGTTTTGTTGATGAATTTGATTACATTACATTAATAGTCTTTCTTTAGCCCATTTTCCGGATGAAAATGAAATTATTTCTACTCTCAAGTCCATAAGCTCCAACAAGTCCCTTGGACCTGACTGCTATTCCTCATCTTTTTATGTCAAATGTTGGGACATCATAAAGAAGGAAATTGTTAATGCTATACAGAGTTTCTTTCTGGGGGAATATCCTGACAATTACTTCAACTCTGCTTTGATTGTTCTTATTCCTAAAGTAAATGACAAAATTACTTGGGATAACTTTTTCCCTATCTCTCTCACCACTGTTATCTTTAAGGTGTTGAGTAAGATTATCGTTAATAGGCTGCAACCTCATCTCTTGCATTTTATACCTCCTCAAATGTAGAGATATTACGAATAATATCTCGCTTGCTCAGGAATTGATTGAAGACCTTGATAAGAAATGTAGAGGGGGTAATATGATTTTTCAACTTGATATCAAGAAGACTTTTGATACTATCAGTTGGGAC